CAGCCTCCCCATTTTGACAAGGGGGGTCGTGCGAATCGATGTCTCCTCCTCCTCTGCTCTGCCTCCTTCCTGCCTCGCCCTCCTGCCAAGTGCCGCAGTGGCCTGGCGCCTTGTGGGCTGGTCGCCCTGAGAACAGGGCGCCTCTGTGGGGTCAAAAAGGGAATCCACGATATCCTGGGCCCCCCCCCCCGCTGTCTAAGCGCATGCAACTGGGCCAAAGTCGGGGACCCCGCATTGCGAAATGCCAGCCTGCCTTTCCTCCTCCCCATCTCCTGGAAATCAAAATGCCCTCTGTCCCCGAGGCCCCGAGACCATGCGACCCAGGCGCTCGCCTTCAAACGCATGGGGCATCCTAAGCGCATCGTCATCCATCGTTTCGCCTTCAATGCCGACAAGAATGATGGAAAGTGCCCTGGTTCGATATGTGCGAAACTTTTTTTTGAAATATGGTATGCTGGGGCTCTGGTAAAACTTGGCATCCTTGAAATAGCTTCCCCTCGCTTTATCAAAGTATTTCTTCAACGATACATGGGTCCGCCCTTCCACCTCAAACCAAGCTCCCAAGATGCTCTCCTCCTCCTTGGCTGGTAATCTGGACCTCTCCTCTCCCCCTCCTTCTCGCGGGATGTGAAACTCAATGGCGCGATTCGGATCAAGCGCCTGACCGAAGCCTCGGTAACACAGTGATTCAGGCTTCCACGACAATCCGTGCGCGTATAGAGGCCTAGACAGATCGCTCATCATTTCTGACAACATCTCTGCCGAACTTGCGTATACAATAATGTTACCCGCCCACGGGGCGAGTGTCATATATCGCTCAGCAACTCTCTCAGGGGCCAGACAATACCCCAAGCCTCGCTCTTGCCAGGAACACAACACGGACTTCCACATCGCCAATGATTGGCAACATCATAAGAATGGGCCTTCCGCCCAAGGGCTGACGCGCGGATGGGCTGACAAGATGACAGGTCACTTGGTCCTAAGACGCGTCTGTTTTCAAAATGACGCCTTGGGGGCCTTGCCTGCGCATGCGCTTCATCCGGCACAAAGCCCAAACCTGACCAATTCCAGAGGGGGCCAGCCTTCCTCTTCCTCCTCTGGTTAATCCCCCCGCTTCCCAAGACGAGAGGGGGGTGCGAACCCATGCTTTGGGCATGAAAAACCTCAAGGATCCCCGGCCGCTGGCGAATCCGAACAAGAATGCGGATGCGTTGGCAGCCGCGGTCCGTTCGCAATACTCTCGAAATTCCGAAAATACCTTGAACCGATAATTCGTATCCTCTGGCACCTTCACCTCGCGAAACTAAGGCCCTGTCCTGGGCGCGGGTCACTCCGGCCGTGGGCGCGGGCTGCCAGAGAGAGGGAGAGGGCAGAAAGCATCGTTTCGTCTGATGGAACTTGCGGCACCTTGGTCATGCGGTCGTGCCTCGAAAGGCGGACAGTGAATTCTGGAAATGTTCCATCCTGTCCGATCGGATAAGATGGCCCGATCCCCATGGCACGGTACATCGACAAAATGTTGCACCACCCGGTGCCCAAGACAGCGGACACCGTTTTAAAATAGACGCTTACGTCTGAGTCTCCCCCCCCACCCCCATCTACCCCCATCTAGTATTGGCTGCGGTCAGGGGTCGCCGAAACAGGTCGGTGGTGAAACATTCTGTCGATCGCCTGGAAAATTTCAGAACAGCTCCTTCTCGCATGCCCCCAATAGTAGATGGGGGTGGGAGGGGGGGCGGAGTGTTGAAGTGCAAATTTCAATGCTCTCCGAAAGCGATGCAACATATTATCGACGTACGGTATGTCGGGCAACCATCCAGACGACCCGGGAAAACCCTACGAGAGCCCGAAGACGGCTCAGATGGCCCCAGACGTTCTGGCGCCCTCCCGAAACGACCCCAAAGAGCCCCAAGACGGCCCACGACGATTCCAAAGAAGCCGTCATGCCCCCAAGGATCGCTCCAAAACTTCCCAAGAGATTTCCAAGACCACTCCCAAGAAGGCCCCAAGAGGCAAGCATCATCGTTTTTTTTTTTTTTTTTTTTTTTTTTTTTTTTTTGTTGTTGTAATTGTGGGGTTTTCCTCTTTTCGGCTTCCCGTCGCTCCAAGAGGGTGGTCTTCTGGGCGCTCGAAGCCGCCAGGGAGGCTCGAACGTCGCCCCACAACCATCGGAAAGGGCTTCCAGGCAGTCCAAGACAGCCCCAAGACGGCACAACAGGGTTCCAAGATGGCCTAAGAGAGCCCCATGTCGGCCCAAGATGGCCTCAAGACACCCTCCGAAGCATTCCAAATCGTGACCCGGTCGTTGAGGGGGACCGCGGCTGGAGGCTGGGTGGCCCGATGAAGCCCTCAGAGGCCCCCAGAAGACGCTCAGGAGGCCCCCAGAAGGCCTCAAGATAGCCTGAAACACTGTTGAGGCCCCCAGAGGCTCTCCAAGGAGGAGCCCCCCCAAAAGAGCTGAGGAGGATGGGGGGAATACGCATTCTACGGCGAGAGTGGGGAAAACGAAGCATGGAGTAATGATGGCGAATAACATTATTTTAACGGCGACGCTGGAAAAGGCAACGAGGAGTTATCGCTAAATTGTCGGCTCGACCTTCCTGCCATTCCGCCTTCAGACCAAACTTCAAGGACCAAGGTGCATGGCGCGAAGCGCCAATGCAGTCTTGTGTATATATAATTATACATCAATTATTACAATTGTGGACGTTCATTTCTTTGATTCGCAGCAGTGCGCTGTGAGCTCCAGGCTCGCAGCAAACTGCCATGCATGAGTGCGTCGGGAACTCAGCCACGCTGAGACAATGCGTAGGGGAACAAAGCAAATAGCTTCAGAGTGAGAGACGGAGCGAAGAAGTGAGGAGCATCTCAAAAACAGAAAAGAGGAACGGAGGGGCGACATTCTACGTCTGTGCCCGCATTGCGCGGGTGACCGACTTGAAACAATGCAGTCTTGGAAGGCTCCACGAGGCGCGCCAGTCACTGCGCCTATCTTCGCCTGATTGGCACGGCGGACTGCTCCGTCTGAGCCATGGCCACAATCGCTATGATGGTCTCGGTAGCTTTCGCTGCGCCCGCGCTTCCGACCGCCGTCGTGGCCCTCTTTGTCGGTCAACCGAGAGCGAGAGCGCATGCGCCACGCCCTTTGAGGCAGCTCCGCGGGCAAAGCTGGCATGATCAGGCTTTTCAGAAACACGCAGCGTGCAAGCTGGGCAATGGAGATGAGGAAGAGGGGGGGGGGGGGCGAGAGGGGGAGGCAGGAGGCAGGTCGCCTGCGAAAATATTTGTCGGCACAACTCGGGCGCTGCATCCGGGCAAAGAGGCCAATCTGTATGTGTGCATGTCAACAGCATGGCGAAAGGCGCCAGGCAATGCCACGGGGGCACCAACTGGGCGATATTTTGCGTGGATGCCCCTCGAGGCCCCCGTCCCCCAGTCCATCAACCCCTCCATGCTGCGCGATGCATGAAGGACAAAATAACACCAAACGCCTGAACATGCCTAAACAGAGCACTCCGAAAACTTGCGCAAGAGCTCGCACGAAGGCTCGCGCTGCGGCGCTCGCTTCTCTGCAGGCTCCCGGGGAGGTCGCCCTCTTCGACGGAAGTGCACCACGCCCAGCGCAATCGCCCAGCCTCTGATCACAGTGACCCCGATCACAACTGCGGCCGCCTTCAGCGATGATGAGGAATCCGCCTCAGATGCGGCGCTGACGCTGTGAAAGTGTCCACCCTTGCCAGCTCTGCGACGTCCACGGCGCACTCCGCGTCGGCGACCGACGCGATGGCTCCCGACAGCGCGCTGTTCATGCTGTCCTCGTCCACCGATGCGAGCAGGTCCGCCGCGTCGCTGGCGCTGATCGAGGCCAAATACTCTGCTGAGATGTTGATTTCGAAATTCACTTGGACTGAGTAGCCAGAGAGCCGGCGGATGGTAGCGCTGAGCCGCCTCGACTTCACAAAGGACAGGGTCGCCTCAACAATTTCTGCGCACTCCTCGGCAAGGCCGTTGCTGACGGCGCTGCCCTTCTCGACGCCCACTTTGGCCTGTCGATCAGCCGCCGCTACCTCGTTGTGGCCGAAGCTCAACCTCATGCTGCCTGCAACCGTGGTCGTCGATGGCGCCGGAGTTGGGGCCTGCGGTGGCACAAGCGTCGGTGCCGACGTTGGTGAAACTGTTGGCACAATTACTTCCGTTGGTGCTGGTGCAGACGTCGGTGTCAGCGTTGGGGCGAACGTGCAACCGACGGCGATGGCGTTGGCGAAGCCGTGTGGCGATGTTGGCACAGCCACTGGTTCGGTCGTTGGTAGCGGTGTCGGTGCACATGTTGGGGCAGATGTAGGCCAAGTGTTGTGGCAAGCGCTGGCGTCACCGTCGGCAAGGCGTTGGTGAAGCCGTGGAAGCAGACGTTGGCGCAGCCCTTGGTTCGGACGTTGACAGTGGTGCTAGTGTAAGTGTTGGGGCAGATGTAGGCCCCGACGTCGGGGCAAACGCTGGTGCCACCGTCGGCAAAGGCGTTGGCGAAGCCGTGGGAGCAGACGTTGGGACAGCCGTTGGTTCGGATGTTGGCACGAGTGTTGGTGCAGATGTTGGGGCAGCTGTCGGCCCAGGTGTTGGGGCAGGCGTTGGTTCTGCCGTCGCTGCGGACGTCGGGGCAGGCGTTGGAGACGCGACGGGGCGTAGGCCTGCACTGGCGTTGGTGCAAGTGTTGCTTCGGGCCTTGGCGGGGGGTCGGCGTAGAGGTCGGGGCTGGCGTTGGCGCCAGCGCGTAGGAGCGGGCGTCGCCGTCAACATAAAACTGCTGCTGTCCGTCTTACTGCCGTCGTCCAGCATGCCGAAGCCGTTCCACCCCGCGGTGACGACCCCGTCATGTGCTATCACGGCCGTGTGGTAGGCGCCCAAGGTAACGCTCTTTGGGCTGGCCAGGCTGGTCAACTGCTCGAAAGGTGGCCCAGGTTTAGATCCAGACGTGGGGGTCCTCGGCTGGGGGGCGATTGGAAGGAGGTGCGAGGAGGGGGACGGGGTAGGAAGAGGCCGAGTGAGGGGGGCAGGAGAGGTGGAAAAACCTGAGTCTGGCTCCGCATCCCGGGCCCCTGTTGACACGGCAGACAGGTCCGCGTGCACCCGCGTGCCCCTGGCCAACGTGCAGGCCGTGGCGCTCGGCGGCCAGCCTGTGGTCGTGTGCAGCCAGCAGTCGGCTGCGCTCCTCAACGGCGGGGCGTTGTGGACCGCTGGGTCGAACGCCGACGGGCAGCTCGGCCTCGGCGACGCAGCCGACAGGTCGACATTCGCCCAGGTGAGCCTGAAGGGCTTGCGGGCCGTCGCACTCGGAGGGACTCCCCTGTGCTTCTTTTTCCTTGGACGAATGCAGACCCGTCGGTGGAATCGTCCAATCCCAGCTGCCCGCTGGTATGCAGCCCGGCAACCCGCGTCCCGTCGCTCTTGAGCGCGGCTGAATGCACTTCGCTGGCCGCGACGGCCTGCGCTCCCGCAAGTGCGGCGTCGGTAAAATCCTGCCCGTCGGCCACGTCTTCGACACCCAACTGGCCGTTCGAGATGCACCTGGCCGTCTGCGCGGCTCCACCTGCCATCAGCACCGCGGCATGCTGGCCGCCAGTGTCGATGGCCTGGACGCCAGCGAGCACCCGATCGAATGTGTCCCTGTATACGAAGGACGTGTCGCCCAGCTGGCCCCTGAAGTTTCCTCCCACTGTCCAGTGCTCCGCCCTGGAGCAGCCCGGTCTGAAGTCGCCAGCCACAACGACCTCGCAGGCGGACGCGGCTCTGCGCGCAACGGGCTCGCTCCAAAAGGCCGCCCAACTGGCCAGCGCCGCGGAAACGGAAATGTTGGCCCCAGCAGGGAGCTTCATGCCTGTCCCGCCAGTGCAGGGGGAGAAAAGGTTGAGCCCAAATGATTGCAGAACGAGCCCAGATCTCCGCCGTCGTGGCTTTTTCTATTCGTGTGCCCTGAAACTCTTGACCCCCAAATTTTTGCGAGGGCCGTTTCTGCGGGCACGGCTTCCTTGGGTGAGTGCGTATAGCGGGGGGACCAGAATCGGGCCCCCACTGGGCCGCCGCCTCGACCACAAGCGTGTGTGCTTCGCAAGTGTTCGTCCAACTTTTGCTCTTCCGCCAGCGCAATCACTCTGCTAGCCGCCGAAGCAAAAACATGTGTGTGCGTGTGTCCCGCCCGCGCCCTGTCTCCCCAATTCGGGCTTCGCGCGCCCCGCCAAGCTCTTAACCGGAAGGGGCCCGCTCCCGACCCGCCGACCAAAAAGTGCGTGTGCGTGCGTGCGTGTGCGTGTGCGTGTGCGTGTGCGTGTGCGTGTGCGTGTGCGTGTGCGTGTGCGTGTGCGTGTGCGTGTGTGTGCGTGTGTCTGTGTGTGTCTGTGTCTGTGTGTGTGTGTGTCTGTGTGTGTGTGTCTGTGTCCTCTGAGCGGGCCCGGCCTCCACTCCGTCCCGCCCGTGCTGGGCTTCCTCTTCTTCCTTCTCTTGCATTGCGGCTTAATTCGTATCTGTATGCCCTACACATGCCCTACCCGCCAGCGCAGTCACTCTGCCTGGCCGCGGACGCAAAAGTGTGTGTGTGTGTGTGCGCCTGCGCCTGAGGTTCCTCTGCGCCGCCGACTTAAAAGTGTGTGTGTGTGTATGCCAGGGGTTCGGCCGCCTGAGGCCCCGCCCGCCTGTGCCCTGTCTCCCTAATTAGAGCTGTGCGTAGCCCGCCTAGCTTTTAGCGGAAGAGGTTCGCTCTCGCCCCGCCGACCAAAAAAGCGTATGCCAGGGGCCGAGCACGCTTGTGGAAGGCCATAACCGCTTCCGAATGCAGTCAGACAGCCCCTGGGGCGGCCCCAATCAGTTTCGAGTCACTCTCAAAAGGGCCCCAAGACGGCCAAACAGGGCCTCAAGACGGCCCGGGAGAGCAGCACGGACAGGGTACAGAAGCCCCTGCCTTGACAACGTGGACCCTTACTTCTCAGATCGCGGGAATCGTTCAGTCTTGAAGACCTCCGCTCCCGGAGGTCCCGACAGGCCGTGGAGGAGGAGGAGGAGGAGGAGGAGGAGGAGGAGGAGGAGGAGGAGGAGGAGGGGGAGGGGGAGGAGGAGGAGGAGGAGGAGGAGGAGGAGGAGGAGGAGGAGGAGGAGGAGGAGGAGGAGGAGGAGGAGAGGAGGAGGAGGAGGAGGAGGAGGAGGAGGAGGAGCAGGTCCGTATGGAATTCGTACCGCGGGCTGATTTCCGTGGGCGCCGGGGCCCGAGACGGACCTCCAGAGGCCGCTCGCCCTGGAACGCCCGCACCTGCATCGAGGCATCGTCAAGGCAGCGTCGACCCACGTTCTCCATACTCGATGCTCTGACCTGTGAGGCAGAGGTCGAGACGTCAGATCGAATGCCGAACTCTTCCATCAGAATGTTTGGGCCGCCGGGGAGGGGGCGATGAAGGAGGGAGTGGGCGAGGAGAGGAAGATGGCCCAGAGACTCCCTAAGCCTCTTCACCATGGAGTTCTGGAGTCATGGAACTAGCTCCAAACTCAGCAGCATGAGAAATCAAGCTCCTCTCTGGAGTTTTATTGATCCATTGGATGCTCGCTCATTCGGTTTGGATGTTTCAGGTGTTGGGCCCTTTGGAGGGAGCGGGGCAGGGGCGCTCTCTCCGTTCCTCGTTTCCTTTCCGCTCGCCCCCTGGCCATTCTGGCAAGTTTAACGAGCCGCGTCTGGACCTGGCAGCGATGGAGCCCTGGTGCCTAATAAGCGGGCGAATCCCAAGCTTCAGACTACGCGATGAAGAGGAGGTCCCATGTGGCCCCCGCGCACATCAAGGGCGTGGGACCTCTGCTGATCAAATGAAGATTGTTTTTTCTAATTCTTGCCACCAGCCTCCGGGCCGAACAATCGGAAATTAGCGACTGTACTGCGGCATCCTTCATGCTGAACTATGCACGTATACAAGATCAATCCCTCTACGGGGGAGCTTACTGCCTGTGGCCAATGATGTCACTCAGCGCTCCATGGGCAAGGACTCAACAGAGGCACGGTCCACACTGCGTTCTTACCTGGGTCACCCCGCTAACGAATAAAACTTACTGCTGGCGTGGTTTTCCTGCACAGTCATAATCATGTGAACAACCTCCTTGACACAACATTCAATGATCACGCTCGCTCGGCGAACCCCTCATCAGCTCGCTTCGCACTACTGGTCGTCTGATAATTGAGGATTGTCCAATCGAACACGAAGTCGTACTGGTACCCCTCGCGGAAAAATAGATCTTTTAGTAAGCGGCGTAAGTACGCGTAATCGGGCCGATCTTCGAAGCGCAAGCTACGGCAGTAGTTTAGATACGTGACGAACTCCACGGGGAAGTGCTTGCACAGCACCTCGATCGGCGTGGACATTTTTTTCTCCATTATCTTTTCGTACTTCTCCTTTTTACCATTAGCTTTTAACCCCTGCCACGGCAAGCTGCCGCGATTGAAATACATCAGCACGTAGCCTACCGCCTCGAGGTCGTCGCGTCGGCTCTGCTCGATTCCCAAATGTGTGTTCACACTCGCGTACCGGGCAGTGCCTGTCAAACTCTTGCCTTCACGGTATGGTATGTGCTGCTGGGTCTTCGGGTCCCTGTACTTTTTGGCCAGCCCGAAGTCGATAATGTGCACCTGATTGGCCTTCTTCCCCAGGCCAATGAGGAAGTTGTCGGGCTTGATATCGCGGTGGATGAAATTCTTCGCATGGACGTACTCAACACGGTTGATCATTTGGTCGGCCAGCATGAGGACCGTCTTCAGGCTGAACTTGCGGTTGCAGAAACTGAAGAGATCCTCGAGGGACGGACCCAGCAGGTCGATGACCATGACGTTGTAGTCGCCCTCCACGCCGTACCAGTGGACGTTCGGGATGCCGACGCCGCCAGCGAGGATCTTGTACAGCTTGGACTCGTAGAGCAGCTGCGGGTGCCTGGACTTGATGGACTCGAGCTTGATGGCGACCTCCTCGCCTGTCGTCACGTTGGTGCTGATGTATATATCGCCGAAAGAGCCCGAGCCAATCTTGCGGCCCAGCCGGAACTTGCCTCCGACGCGGAGCTCCATCCTGCCCCGCCCTGGCGGACTGCAGCCCCCGACGGAAGCCGGCGGCCCCAGGGGGGCAATAGCTGTCTGATCCCGAACGGTTGCGGCCGCGGAGGGCGACGAGTGGAAGGGAACCCTGAGATGCAGGCGTTGCAATCTCTTCGTGCCAAGCATTTTCGCACGTTTTCGGGCCTTGTGACCATCACAGATCGATCCAGCTCGAAAAGTGCCGCAGGAAGATGGGGTCTAGGGCTCCGGTCGTGATTTTTCGTGAGGTTGAAACTTGTTCACAACGTCGGATCTCAGGGAATGAACGAGGGGAGTGCTGGAGGGAGCTGGGGGAGCTGGTGCCAGTGTCTGAGTTCATGTAGGGACTTGCTAGGCTTCGGCTGTTTGAACGGGGGGCAGGATGGGCGGCCTTTCACTCCCTTGGGAGGTGTCTGGCGGTCTACTTCCGAGCTGGCTCGCCTATCCCTTCCCTCCCTCCTCCAGTCCCGGCCTCCAGCGCAACGAAGTGATCAATCAATCCTCCACCTCATCTCTTTCCTTCATCCCACCAGCCCTCTGGGCGGATAGGTGGTTTGGAGCGTTTCTTCTTCCACTCCCTTTCTTCCCCTTCGGCGAGGGGTTTACCCCTCGCCCTACGCCCTCCCCCTGGGTCTGGACGGGGGTTAGCCGTGAGCGGTCAGGGAACCCAAGATGGCCCAACATGGTTCCAAGAGGGCTCCCGATGCTCCAGGATGGCCACCAAGGTGGCTCGAGATAGTCGAAGATGGTTCAAGATAGCTTCCCATATACGTACCTCCAGTAGGGCCCAAGAGGACCACAAGACGGCTCCAAGTGCTTTCGGAGCCTCCAAAGGACCACCCCAAGGGGCCCAAATCCTCAAGCAACCTTGAGAAGATTAATGAGTGTTGCCTTCTCCACTTATCGCTTCCGATGCGCTATTGAGGCCTCAAGATGGCCCAAAAGACCCCCTAGACGGCCCCAAGCGCGCCCAAGAGCGCCCCAAAAGGGGCCCAAGAGGGCCCTGAGAGGCGATTTTGAGGGCCCGAGGGGGGAGGCAAATCGAGGACCCATCCTTTTTTTATCGATGCCGTACACCGTACAAGATGGCCTCAAGAGGCCTTACCGGGTCCGCAAGAGAGCCCCAAGAGAGCCCAAGAGGGCCCCAAGACGGCCCCAAGAGCGTCTGTCCCACGAGGGCCCCAAGAGGCGGTTTGCCTCCTCTGCCTCCTCCTGCCCCTCCTCCTTCTCCTCCTCCTCCTCCTCCTCCTCCCTCGCCCCCCCCGCGGGCCCCAGGGATGGCCCGAAGAGGCCCTCCAAAGCCATCCCCTTGCGCCCAAAGATCTCTCTGTTATTCCCGGTTGCCCGTTTTGATTCACTACATGTCTCTTCGTGCTTTCCCCGTCAGTTTTCATGACAAGGGTTTCTGAACGGGCTGGTGAGGAGACGCGAAGAAGAACTCCCCCCTGTTGCACCACCAGACGTGTCAGTAGGGCGGGCCGGGCGTCTCGTCTGAGACTTCCTCACCGCTTGTGAACAACAAAGCTGGAACGTTTCAACAACTACGAGGATAGAGAGATTTGGGGCTTTCGCGTTAGCGCCAGGCACGTTGCCTTAAAGACCTGCGCCAGCTACGGGGGGGAGCCGTTTCCTCTAACTCCCACCAGCTCTTTCGGGCGTTTTGTTTTGTTTTTGTTTTTTTGTTTTTTTGTTTTTTTCGAGTTTCCTCTTACAAGCCCCCTTCTTCTCCTTCTGGGAGGGGTTGTCACTGGTGCCTAATATCGTCTGCTTTGCGCAAGG